AGTAGCTCCGACGAGTACAAGATTAGTGGTTTGGTTTCTGCCAGGAAAACCACAGGGGTCCCTTGTCTAACTGGGACTGTTGCTCAGTTTAGCTTCGAGGTTAATTATACCGAGTTTATCCTAATTTGTTAGGGTCAATCTTAAATTGTTGAGGTTATTAGAATATGACCTTTAGGGCTGCTGTGACTGTTGAGTGATGGACATAATTTGTCATAACTTGAACTTTGAGCTATTAATATAATAGTCCTGTTATTTTGTAATGTAATATTCTAAGAAAACTAAATTTGGACTTTAAAATACCTGTAAACTACAATAAAGATGAATACACACTCCATATCCATCCTTCTAAATGTAAATGAGTGATCCAGCGCCCCTAATAAAAGGTAAAATAAAATGATATAGGAGCTGCATTAACATTAATGTGATCCTTTTTTTTCCCCTTAGGGACCCTTTCTTTGATGCAATGACTCATGATGATGAAGATGACGACGATGAGGAAGATGGATTCTACTATGATGGCTTCAGAAGGGACCAACAGGACCCCTTTGATGGTGCTTGGAGGTTTGGCTTCAGCTTTGGGCCAGATGGGACGAGGTTTCAGGAGCCTGCCGTGTTTGGACACGTTCTGAGGGAAATGGAGGAGATCTTCTCTCAGCTGGGCCGCTGGGAGGGACATCCAGAGTCTGGACACTTTGGTATGAGACACAGCTAATGCCGAGACTGCTGCAGTCATGTTCAAGGATTAGTATTTCTTTCAGTCCATCTATACCTGGACCTTTTCCGAGCTGATTTAGGTCGGAACGGTTCTTATGTTATCTGGAATTTCCCATATTTTCCAGGTCTGAATAAATACAGTGAGAGAAAACAGTTTGGAAATATATTTATTTTTAAGTGTTGTCCTTTTCTCTCTGTTTCCCTCTTGTCTTTCACAATATTGTTGCAATAATCAATTTTCCTGATGTTCTAAATCACTTGGATGCATTAGGGAACAAGAATACTCTATTTTATGGCTCCTCTGATTATCCTCTGCAGGGCCACCTTCTCTGCCATAATGCAGCTTATAGTTTATCCTTTCAAACACTGAACTAGTCTTTTTATCTCTTTTTTTTATGTGTCAGATGTACCCAGAATCCTGCCACCATCTCCTCATCAGGATAAATCAAAGAGGAGTGGAGGCAGTGGGAACCCTCTGAGAGACTTTATGCTCAAATCGCCTAACAGTGACCCCCAAAGGTCACAGCAAGAGGACCTGAATGAGAGTCGACCTTTCAAGTCTCCAGATTTCCCCCAGTCGCCTTTTAAAGACTGGAGCCCTTTTTCTAAGGTACACACAACAGACTTCACTTCTGTTGTGACTCTGACATAACCTGCATCTAAGACTTTATTTTGTGTTCATAGTTCAATGATTTCTGGGGACAGGGGCCGCAGAGAACCCCACATCCTGAACCTAAAGAAGACAGAGGTAGGGGATGTCTTCCACCATTAAGTCTAAGTCTGTGTCTGTATTATAGCTTTTGTTCTTTAGTTTGTTTTTACTGATTATTTTGTTTTTTTCCTTATTGTGGGGTTTCAGATCTGGATTCTGCAGTGTCATCAGGTGGTCTAGATCAAATACTGACTCCCCCTGTCGATCCGGCCCCAAATGAGCCCAGGAGCCGATCCTTCTTCCAATCGGTCGTTGTTACAAAGGTGGTAAAACCCGACGGGGTGAGTAAGCTGTAATGATGATAAATAAAAAACATTTTAGGTACATTTCTTTAATGTAAACAACACCAAACTTTTGATTGAATATTATGATTAAAATAGAATTTTTATTTTGAAAAAGAAAAATGCCTTGAACAGAGAAAAGACTATATAAAAGTTAACTTTGTTTTATATTATTGCAAAGTGTAATTATGCAAAAGAAAAGTGAGAAGAAAAAATGTCCTGCATAAAACAACCATTAAAATAAGTTTATAGTTTCAGTAAATAATGGAATAAAATCAGAAAGATGGTTGTAAACATGTTTCTTGGTTTCCCCTCTCTGTCTGTCAGACTGTAGAGGAGAGACGGACAGTCAGAGATGGACATGGCAATGAGAAGACCACTGTGACACGTTCAGGAGGTCCTGGGAGGCTGGATGGACCGGATCAGCACACGGCACCAGTGCTCCCTGGTCAGCTTTGTTTCTTTCTGAGCTTTTTAAACAAAACCAGCAGCTATGTTGTTTCTTAATTTCTTGGTTTTTATTTTTTCCAGGTGACTCGAACAGCTTCTCAGACCTACGGGATGACAGCTCGTTATTCTCCAGGTTCTTTGGAGGATTTAAATAAAATCTAAACAGAAGTGCACTTTCTGAAATGGTTGGTCACAGCAAACCATCACTGAACTGACAGTAGTTTTCTAAGTAATGACCAAAATGGATCTTGTATCTTTACTCAAATTTATTCAATTCAATTTAGTTTATTTATATAGTGCCAATTCACAACACATGTCGTTTTAAGGCATTTTATAGAGATAATTCAACCAGATCATACAGTCACATTGGTTCAACGTTTTTTCATCTAAGGAAAACCAGCCGATTGCATTGACTCAATAACTCAAAGGCATCCCTCACACCAAGCATGCTTGCAGAGACAGGAAGGACGCAGCCAGGCAGAGGGGGAAAGGAGAGCACATAGTTTAAAAGAAAAGAAACAGGCCAAGCTCCAACATCTATAAACAAAGGTGTTGATGGCAACATCCCAGCTGATATTTATCTTCAGGGTGGTGTCACAGCCAAACAGGAACAGACCAGATGAAGCTACCATGAGAAAAAGCAGAGGGAGAATACTGTTAGAGATTGAACTAACAAATTCTGCAGAATGGGAGTATAGAGGTAGACTTATGAAAAGGGGTCCCTATGTCCTCCAGCAGTCTAAGCCTTTAGCAGCATAACTATAGAGATAACTCAGGATAACAGGAGCATCTCTAACTATAAGCTTTATCAAAAAGGAAAGTTTTAAGCCTGCCCTTAAAAGAGAATAACATTGAAGATTGAGCTAACACATTCTGCAGAATGGGAGAATAGAGATATTAGAAACAGAATGATGAAAAGAACACCCTGTGTCCTCTAGCAGTCTAAGCCTATAGCAACATAACTACAGACAAAGATCAGGATTAACTGATCCAGTCTATAAGCTTTTTCGAAAAGGAAAATTTGAATCCTAGTCTTAAAAGTAGACCGCATGCCTGCCCAATGGACTAAAACTGGTAGTTTGTTCCACAGGAGAAGAACCTGATGAGTACAAGATCTGCCTCCCATTCTACTTTTAGAAATTCTAACACCCACTAGTAAACCTCCAGAGTGAACAGAGTGCTCTGTTAGGAACATAAGGAACAATAATATCTCTGATGTAAAATGGAGCTTGGCCATTTTATATGTGAGAAGGAGGATTTTAAATTATATTCTGGATTTAACAGGAAAACAATGAAGAGAAGACAGGGTAGGAGAGATATGATTTCTCTTTATAATTTTAATCAGAACTCTGGTTGCAGCATTTTGGATCAGTTGAAGAATTACAATAGTCCAGCCTTGAAGTAACAAATGCAAGGACTGGTTTCTGAGCATCACCCCTGGACAGGATATTTCTAACTTTTGCAGTATTTCAGAGATAAAAGAAGGATATTCTAGAAACCTCTTTGATATGGGATTTTAATGACAGGTCCTGATCAAAAATAACACCAAGATTTTTCACTGTATTATCCGAGATAAATTTAATCCCATCCAAATGGAGTCACTGAATTATCAGCTTCTTTTTCAAAGGTGGATATAAATCTAGTGGCTCTAGTGAGTTAAGACGCCTCAGTCCAGTTTAAGTGTTTATTTTTGTATTGTCATATAATAAAAGCAGTTTTGATGGAACAAATGAAAATAAAGACTTAATATATGCACACAGTTTTTGCCCTGTTTGTTTGGTCTCAGTTTCCTGACCTGATATAAGTCAGTTATTCTTACAGCTGTGGATGCTGTTTCAAAAACTACAAAATGATTCAGTTTTATATGGAAATGACTCGAACTGCAAAGAGTTAAAGATATAAGTTGTATTATTTATATTTCATTTAAACTGATTATGCTGTTTAGGTTGAACCACAGCATCCGTTAAATAAGGGTTTGATGTAACTTTTTTTTTGCATTTTACATTACTATGTGTTCTTCAACTTCTAAACTTTTCCACACCTGAAGTTAAACATATATTTGTAGATTTACAGCCCACATTTCCCTCTATATTCATCAGTGGTCAGGTTTTAAAAAAAAAAGAAAAATCTGATTTCTGCAGGTAATGAATTCAGCTCCTTTTGAATCTAGTTTTTCAGTGTTGAATTATAGTCATGACCTTTTGTGTTGATGCATTTTTCAGCATTAAAAATTTTTTGGGCGAACAAAACCTTAATGTCAAATTTCTGCTTAATTAGAAGTTTAAAAAAATCTAGATTTAGAAAGTTAGAATTTATTAGCATTAATTATAATATTTTTTCTCTGAATGCATCAGGACCTCAGCATCATGGATCCTCCACCATGCTTACAGGTGAAAATTGGATGCTTTTCCACATCTTAATCCTTTTTTATACAGCAAATCCATTAGAAGTGTTCTCTTCTTAGTCTTCTCTTATCATAATATCTATGTTTTTGTTGGTGGAGCAGGCATGTTTCAAAAGTCAGTGTTTGAGTTTTAGATAAACCTGCAGGTGAAGTGAGGTTTCATTAATGTAAAATTTAGTAGAAAGTTGTTAAGCACAAGCCTTCAGAACAGAGAGGTCCAGCAGCTCAGGGCTGCTGCTCTGATTCTGCTCCAGGGATGTCTTAAAAAAAATTGCCTCTCTGTTAAGAAAAAAAAAACTCAGCCTTGCAATAAACTCTGTGACGCAACCCTGGAGTCCAGCATGAAAGTGCAATCTGTGCTCAGTGAGACAGAAGAAGCAGAGCTGTGCAGATCACATCTGATACCCGCTTCCCGTCTCTAAAAGCTCACGCAGACCAGGGGATGGAGAAGCTGCTGAGGTGCTGTCGTATCAGAAGCCCTTTGGTCAGGGAATGTCTGGCTGAATGTCTAGGAGTTTACGTCATGATTGTGAGTAAAACTGATAAAACCCTCCAGTAATGTCCGTGTTTACAAGAGATCTTTTGAACTGTTTTATGTTGACATGATTTAGTCATTTTTAATAAAACCAGAGCAGAAAACTAAGAGAGAGAGGTGAGACGTGTGGGGCAGTGTTATTTTTTACCCTTAATTACTGTCTCACTTACCAGTGCAATGAACATTTACAGCACACACCATAAAGCAGGTTAATCAGAAGTGAACTTCATAAAAAAAGGAAAAAAAACATAGCTGTTTGCAAGTGTCAGATCAGGATGTTGCAGCCATCTGGTTTAAAGTCAAAGCACATTTAATTGTCTGCACATAGCTTTCTTTCAGCACAGCTGACATGTTTTGTGTATTTGCAGTTGTTTGGATGTGGATCCGTTGCACAGTCGGTCACCTCTCAGGAAAAAAATGGCCAGTATCTTTCAATTAATCTGGGCTTTGCTTTTGGGGTCACGTTTGGGGTCTTTGTGTCCCGTGGAGTCTCAGGTAAGATTTTGTGTTTTTCTTAAACAGACAATCTTCTTTAAATTCTTCTGGGTTTTTATCTTTTGCCGTTGAGGGTAAAATCTGAGTTGCTAAAGGCAGAGGTTCCCAACCAGGGAATAAGGGTTTATTTCAGTAGATATTAGTGTCTTTATTTCATCTTTGATAAGAAGCTGAAAAATTCAACAAAAAGAAAATGCAGAGAGTGTTTGCTGACAGATGCACCTTGTAATAATAATAATATAAAACAAATCTGTAATGAAACAAGAATTTAAATGTATTTTTTTTATTATTTATTCTGCAAAACATTTGAATATAGACACAGAGTGGCTGCACTCTCTTAATCTGCCCTCTCACTTTCTGCTTTTCAAATATACTTTGTCCAATAGAGCATATTTGATGACTCTTTTTTTATAGCAGTGGTTCAGGCAATAGTTTTGATGAGCTTGACGTTGAACTATATTTAGATTTATAATGTAACATATTTTTGGCACTAAAGAGCGATGCAATATATAACCTTACTCTGTCTTTTTTACTCGGTATCTACTTATTCCATTTTTCAATTTTAGTTAAATCTGATCAGTCATGTTTTGATTTGTGTTAATAGAAATAAACAAGTTAAATTTATCTGTTTATTTTATGAGTCAGTATTATGATGGCAGGGTCTTTGGAGGGTTGAGCCTCTAAAACGCTTGTGCGTGTGCCTACATTACAACCACAAACTATTAGTATTTTTGTTTACCAATGATTGGTAGCTCACTGTTGTCATGGGGGAAGATATCTATGCCTAGTCTCATGATTTTTCAAATAGAAATTCTGTATATAATTGGAGCCCCTTTAAACTTGTCACCCCTTAATAAAATAAAGCAATGAACGCCTTAGAGGTTTGTTAGAGATCATTAGTGATATAGAGATATCAAAGAATGAGTCGGGTTCTGAAATGATATCTTGAGCTTTAAACACCTCAAATAAGACAGAAGTGAAAGGGTTTGTGTTGAACTTGACATTTTAGATTGTAAAATTTTAATTTCCTTGTGAAAATCACAGCCTAAATAAATGGTTGACAGCCTGAGTGAGAGCGCCTTTCTTTTATTTCAGTTGCTGGCAGCTCAGAGTCATTTGGCAAACCTGAAATGGCCTCAAATCTGCATTTTGGACTACTTTGGTTTAGATGAAGACATGTTTATATGTTCAAATGGATCAGTCAATGCTCAGACCAAAAAATAATCACATCTTTAGCAAGACTGGATGTTCGCACATGCTCATTATTCTGTTAAGTGGAATGGAGAGAAGTTTCTGAAGCTGTCGGAGATGAACACAGAGGGACTCCCTCCTGCAAAAACGATCTAGAAATAAGTAAAATTTCTTAAATTAAATGTAATACCCTTAATTGAGCAGGTGAATGAAATACTTTGCCATGGGAGAGAGTAGTTTTACTCTTACAGTAGGATAATATACACTTGAAATAAGACAATGCTTTTGTTTGTTTTTTCTTATTTTAAATGCAGTTTGTCTTGTTCAACTGGCAAAGTTTCTAACTTGACTCCTCAATTAAGAAAAAAAATTACTCATTTAGATTTCAATTTTTTGCAGTGTGTAGTGACTCTGAAGCATTGAATCACCGAGGCAGAACAAAAATCTATGATTTTAGAGAATCATACCTCCTTTTTTTCCATATCACTTTGTTTAAAAAAACATTAAAGTTTTACACGGATTATGGAAAATTATTAGTTTGTTTGTGTTGTTTGACCTTAAATAAATGAGTATTGCGGTTAATTTAATGATATATATATATATATATATATATATAGAAAGCTAAGAATTCAAAACAATCTTCAAAACAATAAAAAAAAAAATCGTCATACTTCAAAATGTATTCATTTTCAATTCTATTTTTTAAAGGGGGCCACCTGAATCCTGCAGTTACTCTGAGCTTGTGTGTTTTGCGAAGACACCCATGGCTGAAGCTTCCTTTTTACACCATTTTCCAAGTGCTTGGAGCCTTTCTGGCTGCAGCCACAGTTGCTCTGCAGTACTATGGTGAGTCAACATGCTTATACTGCATCCAGAAAGGTTTTATCAGTGAGGAATTCTGCTAAATGGATAAAAAAGAAAAACTTAAGAGTAAACATGTTGGAAAATGTCACTGGCAATGTCTAAAACTCAAGTTCATTGAGGTATTTAAAAACATAAACAATGGATTCCTTTTATCCAGCTCTGTCTTTCTCTACAAAATGCAAACTTTATATATATTTGCAGTATTTGCATCACCCCAAGCTCTTCTAGGAGGAGCATGTCTTGCAAGTCAATGACTCGATCCAATCGACTGCTTTTCCTTCATAGAAACCTTTAACCAATCTGACTATTGTCTCTGCAAAGTGCCTTGAGAGGAAGCGTGTTGTGGATTGGCGCAATATAAATGAACAGAATTGAACTGAATATAGAAATAAGTTTTCTCCAACTGACTGGAATTTGGTGAGTGACAAGCTTACCAAAATGAAGCATAGCCAGTTATCAGTTAATGACCAAAAGCCCACTTGTGTTAAACCAAAAGCAAACCTTCAGGAAGAAATAAAACAAAAAGCTTCAAAGTGGTTAAGTCAAAGCCTGGAGATTAATTCAGCTGAGATGCTTGGAAATGCCCTAAATGCTCAAAAATCCTCCAATTTGGCCAATTTAGAGAAATTCTGCGAAAGAAGAAAAAAAAAAAAAAAACACACAATTCATCTACAGTTAATTTAAGAGAAGTGGAGAAACCAGTAATTACATTTAGGGGGCAGACCAACCAATTGCACGTGGAACCAGGTTGGTTGGATAGTTTAGGTCAGACATTAAGAGACATTTTTAATTTTTGTGACATAAAAAAGGCAAACATAGGGAAAAGAGTCAAATAACTTTGACTGCAATTTAGGGAAACTTATAGATTTCCTTCTTTATCTATTGCTGAATCACTGATCTTAGGCAAATAAATTTGTTGTGAACATTTTCAATTAAGGACAGCTTAAATAAAAGGTTTGCCTTTTCCAAGTGTTAAAACATTTTGCCAATATTTGCACAAGTTCTGTTACAGTCGTGAGTCTTTGTTATAAAATTAAGATATCCTTTGTAGACGCCATCCAGAATTACAGCGGGGGTCAGCTGACGGTGAGCGGCCCCAATGCCACAGCTGGAATATTCTGCACTTATCCAGCTGATTACCTCAGTTTGTGGGGAGGCATAATAGACCAGGTCAGATAAGTCTGCTCTTTTATTCTTAAATATATTAATCATTTAAAGATGCCATGTTGAATCAGCTCATGTCCTGCAGGTGATTGGCACTGCTGCCCTTCTGCTGTGTATTCTGGCTCTAGGAGACCAGAGGAACACCTCCATACCGGATTATCTTCAGCCTCTCCTAGCTGGAGCTACAGTGCTGGTTATCGGCATGTCGATGGGCTCAAACAGTGGATATGCCCTGAACCCGGCCAGGGATTTGGGTCCTCGGATCTTCACTTACATTGCTGGCTGGGGAGATGAAGTTTTCAAGTTAGTCTTTGCACTGCTACCAAAACATTGTCTCTAATGTTCATACATGTTTTTTTCTTCTTTTAAATCCAAACTAATTCTGTTTTTGCAAATGTGTCTCAGGGCTGGAGGTGGTTGGTGGTGGGTCCCGTTAGTCGCCCCCTGCATCGGCGCACTGGTCGGTACTCTGATCTATGAACTACTGATTGAAGCCCACCATCCACCCCTCTTCTCTGAGACCCAGTCTTCTTGTCAGGAAACGTCGGACAACGAAACATCAGATAAAACTAATCTGGAGTTGGAGAAAGTGGAACCAGAAGGTGGAAAATCTATTTAGCCATTGAACTGAGTGTGGTTGGGAAAAAAATCAATCTGTTTGAAGTGGGCTCTGAATGAATGAGTTTCATTCATTCAGGCCTCAGAGCTGCAAGGCTACCAGGTGTCTAAGGGAGAAGGGTTGTTTATCCTGTTAGGGATTGTTTGAGATAAAAAACAATAACAAGCTGGACTGTTTCTCAGGGATTATTTCATAACATTATATGTTGTTTCCAAGTGTCTGTA